CAGCAAATGGAGTCTCTTTTAAAGCCATGCAAGTTGCTGGTTAAAACAGCTTCTGGCTGACCGTTCATTTGTTAGGCAGATTGCTGGTTAACAGCCCAAAGACAGTTGGCTGATGGGAGGTAATGATTAGGAACCTGTTGCAAATGGTTGTTCTGCTTTTGAATGAGATAACCATCAGCGCTGGGGGAAAGATGCCTCCCTCCAACTGGGAGTGTGTGTGTGAAGAATCAGCACATGACAAGTTTGAGAAGAGACCCTGACTAGAGGCTGTAAGGTGGTACTGCATTGAGGCATTAAGTATCTAGAGAATATAGAATAATAATAAAAGGGGGGAAACTATGAGCATATGATGGGGTGGAGATAGTGGTGGCTGGTCCCCACTGGGTCAGGTAGGACAGAAAGCCAGGATGTCAACAGTAGCCAGAGCCGCTGACAGGCAGAGCCAATCAGTCCTGGTATTGTCTCCCATCCTCTTCCTCCCTGTTGAGCTCTACAATGGCAATACTGAGATTAAGGAGAATGAAGCAGGCAGCCAGGACTGGTTGTAAGCAAGAAGGCAGATGGACTGCAGTTGGATCAGCCTTCACTGAATGAAGCAAGCGCCATCACTTGTGATTGACGTTGGACTACAAGTCCCATCACCCCTTACTTTTGGTCATACTGGCTGGGGCGCATGGGGGTTGGAGTCCAACATCATTAGGAAGGTCAAAGAGTCCCTGCTTCTACAATATTCCATAGGTGTTTTTGGCACTCATGCAACCACATTCCACGCTTCAATCACAATCGCAAAGGTTGCACAAAATATTCCTGCAACAGAACTGTACCCTGGGGGACAGGGGACATCTTGATCCTGTCTTTGGCACAACGGAGCAATTGGGCCACTGCTGTTGTGCTTAAACAAAGTATCTGAGAGGGGCCATATAATCTTTCAGCTACTGTACAAATAATCAAGAGCACTTCAGAGTTCTCCAACAAGTAGGTGCAAAGGTTAACCTACTTTACTAGACAGAAATATTGGTATTATCCATTTGCAGCAACTGGAGTGTGTTACAGTTTTAGAAAAAGGGGCCTGGAAGGAAAGTTGTCTCTAACTTGGTTTAGTCATTTCTCTGTATTTGTGTGGTAAGAGAAATCCACAAAGTACAGAGCCTTAACATTGTTTGGATTCCTTCTCTTTGCAGCAGGGGATTCTTTGAAATTGCATTTACTTAACTGAAGTGATCACATTGAGAGCTCACTTGGAGTGGAGAGGACCAGAAAAATAGCAAAAGAATTTTGTGGTGATTGTCAGGGATTGTCAAGCAGCTTTCCTCAATAAAGTTCAACCTCCTGACTTAAAGTCTTGCGTAACAGCAGCAGCAGCTTTTTCCTAGTTACAGATTCTTCTCACCATAAGTGCACTTGAAGGCTGCATGAGAAGAACTTGATAGCACCAGCCTCCGATATTCTAAAAAAACACTATGCTCCCTGGCCAGCTGCTCAAAGCTTCATGACATGCTGGTATGCTAGACAGAGTGATCTGCCTGGCACACCTGCCCATATCATGAGTCATGCGCTGAGCTGAGTTTAGGAAAACACCCCCCTCTGTCAGTGGCATATGGTGACATCATTCACTTCTATTTCTGATGTTTGGGCTGTGAGTGCCATTGCTCATGTAGTCAAAACCCAAATCGGCCCCATCCAACCACAGGGGGGAGGTATTAGCAGGCATGGGGCAATCACTGGCGGATTCACTGGCAATCACCGGCACCATTAGAATTCCTGCTCCGTGCTTGCAGTCATAGGATTGTTGTCTATCACATGACAGTATATGTTTTGACTCCACAGAGTGGGAAGTGACGAAGATGGGATGTTTGTGTTACTGTGTTCTGTGAAGTGGGACTATTGTCCTTTGTTCTTTTTCTCTTCGCTGTCTGATGCTCGAGAGAGAGGGAGCCATGTTGCAGTGCTCCATGTGTGTTTATATGTAAATAAAGTAGATTAGCCAAAATGCTGAGTTGTTACGCAACTGCGCAAACTCTGCGGATCCCTGAGTGTGCCGATGTCTGTTGGCATCAGTCACTGTGATGTTCGGGCTGAAAAAAAGCTTTTGAAGCTCCCGAACGACAGACCAGGAGGGAGAGAACATGTGTCTCTGCCAGGGTCCTACTTGAGTGTAAGCTGAACTCCTGACAGCGCACCCCCCCCCACCATTCCAGGTGCCACGCCCCCCGTGAGTGACGTGCCGTGCCCCCAGGACACACACCAGCCACACCCCTGCCTGCTCTCCACCCCCAGTGCTGGAGCATGCAGCTTCACCACTGGGGGCAATCCCAAGTTTGGAGAATTACGAAAAACTTTGGAAAAGAGAGGAGAACCCTAACTGCACTTGGGGATCACAGAATGCTAAGTGTCTGTTGTGCAGGGGTGGGGTGGGGGAGAAATAACAGGGAGGGGAAACAGAATGGAGTGTCTGCAATCATGAATAGCAGAATGCCATAACTTGTCTACATTTTAAATAATCTATTGGATTCATGTTTTCTATTATCCCTTGTTTTAGGATTAGTCAGCAACAAACTGTTACATTAATCAAGAAGGAAGCGCAGCAGATTATTTGCATGGGTGTATGCTACATTAAGGTCTTTTACAGGTCATTTTAAAGGTGCAAGCTTAAAAGGTTTTTTTTTACACATACCTAATACATGTCATCTTGTATTTTCTCTGTTTTGCACATGTTTGACTAGATCAAATACAAGATATTCTCATGGATAAAATTGACCCCAATCCACAGATGTGGGCTGTTTATAAATTGAGTAGGTGATAGCAGAATATAGGTGGAACAACAGCCAGCTCAATATTGCCTGCACAGACTGGCAACAGCCCTCCAAGGTTTCGGCAGGGAATCTCTCCCAGCCCTGCCTACAGATGCTGGGGATCGAATCTGGGAGTTTCTGCATGCAAGGCAATGAGCTACAGCCCTTCCCAACTTACAATTCTATGATTCTGTGCTGGGATTCCTGCATTGTAGGAATGACCCTCCGAGTTCCTTCCAACTCTACAATTCTGTGATTCTAATACAGCAGCTCCACTGCTGCGGTGATTAAGATGAGCACATCATTGTCTCACTGGGCTGAAAAATCACACATATCTACATAATGAGAAAAATCAGAATACACGTTGTAGAGGAGTGCAGCCTCTTCCTGTTCAAGGCTTTAGCTCCCTTCATGCATACTAAAGCACATGGCAGTTACTTCTGTGTGGTATCAGAGCCAGCCCTAATGTTAGGGTGTGTGAGGGAGGCCGCTGCCTTAGGTAGCAGTTGTTGAGGGCAGGGAGCAGCGTCAGGGTGTTGGAGGACAGAGCTGTGTGTGTGCCACAGGGTCTGTTCCTTCTCCCTCAAGATATCTTCCTGGCTTCAGGCATAATGGAAGATGCTGCCCCACTGTCAGCATCGCAGTAGGTTTCAGCTGCCAGTTTGGTCAACTTTGTACATGGAACAGGAGGAAACACCACCTTGTCATTCACCTAAGACAGGCATGTCCAAAGTCCATCTCAGTGCCCCGATCTGGCCCGCCGATCGGTTCAACCCGGCCTCTGTGGCAGTTTATTTCCTGGGGTAAAATCCTAAAAAAAACCCTGAACCCTAAAAAAAGGTCAACAACTTTGGTCGGCCCTTCAGCCCTTCACTTCATCAAATCTGGCCCTCTTTGGAAAAAGGTTTGGACACCACTGACCTAAGACCATGAAACATTTAGACCAGCCCTATGTGGAACAATTCCATGTGGCTGTGATGTGTGTGCGAAAATATTTCAGGCTTGATTTCATGGGTCTTTCCCTCTTGATTGGCTTTCTTCTTTTTCAGGGATGGCTTGGGAACATATTTCCATTTCGAACCTGAGTGAAGAAGTCTATTGAGGACTAGTTTTATCAAGATTTGGGAGTGTTTCGTTTTTACCTTTTAAAGTTTTTGTTAAATTCACCTTGTGTTGTGGAGCCCAATGAGTCTTCAGTAAATAGGTCCAGTGACAAAGGTATAACAGCCATTTTATTCTCATTCCTAATGAGTGGAATACATGTTTGTCATTCAAATGTGGATAGGGGATTTGCCTAAAATAAAAGTCTGCTTGAAAACTTAAGGCGAGGGGGGAAATCTTCTGTCCAAAACATGTCATGCACCAACAAAATTTGAGAAAATCTGTTGTTTTCTCTCTTGTTTTTGTGGTGAGCAACATTACTTCCTTCTTTGTTTCTTCCTGGCAGCGTGTCAACTGGGTGAAAGAACAGCCCAAGTCATAATCTCCACTCATATGACTGTAATATTCATAGATCACAGCTGCGTGAGACAATGCCGCAAGGAGGCAGTTACCGTGTATGTGCATGTGTGTGCTTGAAGATCTCTGTGAAGTTCTTTTTCAGCTCACCAGTAAACTGCTACAGATAATTAATTACCATTTCCATTGGGATGGGGAAAGCTGTTGCCAGATACAAAGACAATAAACCTTTGAATGCCAGATTCTGAGGGCAAACACAAGAGAGGCTCATCATCTTCACGAATGGCTTGTGAGCTTACAGAAGCATCTGATTGGCTGCTGTGAGCAAAAAAGAATGATGAGCCAGACAGACATTGGTCAGTTCTGGCAAGGTCATTCTTACGGATTTGGTCTCCTGCGAACATTCCAAAATGCTCATTTGCTTTCTAAGAGTTCTATTCTGACTCATAATTTTGATATATGTACACTGATGGCAGTACCTCGATGCCATAACATGTGGCCTTCTTTGAGTCATTGGACTACACCACTCTTCATCCCTGACCATAGGTAATGCTTCCTAGGGCATACGGAAGTTGGAGTCCAATAATATCTACAGCTTTTAGAGGGCCTAAGGTTCCCTGCACTACAAAATGTTTGCAGGCGCAACACTGGTTTATTCAGATAATATGGATTTGAGTTTTTCATACAGGTAATTTTGTTTGTTGCTTTTCTCAAGCCCATTCATTTACTCCTTATGAGAAGAATGTAATTAAAGAAAATCCTTTACGTTTGCTTAGCAAAACAGCATGGAAGATGTTAAAAGCAGACACCTTGCTCCCCTTCCTTCTGTCCTTCCAGTAAAGCAAAAGCAAACTAGAAATTGTATACATGCATAGGCCAGGAAATAGATTTTATTTCAGCAGGACAGCAAGATAAGCAATTCTGTAACATTCTTACATCTCATCATATATCATCACATTTCATGACAAACTTTATTTGATGACTCTTAGCTGAATGGCGGCTATATATTCACAGTGAATTTCTGGCAAACAATTACATTTTTATTTAACCCATTTATTGCATTTTTAAAAACAACAACAACGGGTCTATGTCCCACCAAAACAGCCCAAGGGAGTTCCCTCTTCTGCCTTTGCAACATGTTTTTAATCACAAGCAATTACTAGGTAGTAGAGCTGCTTCTGTTCCTTTAATTTCTTGTCAGCCTTTATGATTCTTAAGTGGTATTATAGGAGTCTTGCCATTTAAATCTAACCATGCATGTGATACATGAGAAGTATTCTTTAATGAAATGCTAATGCTTTAAAGTAATGCTTTTCTTTCTCTATACTTTACATTTCTTGGGGCCAAACCAGAAGTGAAGTGAAATGCAATTTTGCATTTAAGGTGCATGCTTTTAAAGAAAAAGAAAAAGCACCAGCTGGGGGCAGTGATAATTAAAGGGATCAGATAGGGAGGGAGATTTTACATTTTCCAGAGCAATCGTAACCCTGAGATCCACTGGTTAGAAGGGTCAGAAAGGCGTATTTGCTGCAGCGCCCTCTACTATTCCTGCAGAAAACTCTCAGTCATGGGTCTACTGATGATCTACTGACAGAACCTCTGGAAAAGATTGGGGAGGGCAGGAGGAAATGGAAATGCCCGAAACATAAAATGCCTAATTGGCTAATCATAATTATAAAATGTTATTGGTGGCTATAATGTGCAAATTAACGCCCCATTTTGGAATATGATGAGTAATTTAGTAAAGAACCCAGTAGATGAAATAGATGTACCATTAAAACACACCACTAAAGTCTAGTTTAGAGAATAGGGATGTAGTTGTTAATTTTTGTTCTGTGTCTCTGGGAAATACATTCAGCAATCCATACAATGTTTCTGCTTTCTTGTTCCTTCAGCTTTACATAGGCATAGAAGACCCCAAAATGGAACTGGTTGTTGAATGCCAGCACATTCATTTTGACCTGGAGAAAAGAGTGCAAGAAAGAAATATTTTATTAGCGAGGGGAAATAATCAGTTACTTGTACGTTACATCTTTCATTCTCAAGCATTCTAAAGAGTTTTACAAACCTTTTCTTTTACAAGTACTTTTCTCAGTAGGAGCTGGGTCAAAGTGCAGCTATCTTTGGGTTTTTGTGACAATTTAACAGGCCGCAGGAACATTAAAGGAATAGGTTAGGACACGGAAATTAATGTTTCTCTAATGGCTGCAGCGCTGGAAGATTCAGAGCTGCTTTGGATGGAATTTGACCATATGTCTCTATTACTTACAAATGGCTCTGTGGGCATTTTTTTCTTTTGAGTTCGCTTCTCCAAAAGGTGGTAGTCATTTTTAGCACTTTGCGGCTTCATAATACTGAAGGACAGGGATGGGGAACCTGTGGCCCTCTAGATTTTAGTGGACTCCAACTTCCATTAGCCCCAGCTAGTATGGTCAGTGGTCAGGGATGATGGGTGTCCAGCAGCATCTGGAGGGCTACATATTCCCTCTTCCTGCTTTAGGAAGATACTGGCTGTTTATTCAGAGTGAGGAATGTCACCTCCTGCAAGTCCATCACCACTTGCAGGTGACTCTGAGCAAGTCGAAGAAAAACAAATGTAGCAAAGATAAAGGTTTGAACCAGAGAAAGAGCATCTTACCTCATGTTCAAAAAAAGCATCTTCTAACGTTTTTTCTCCTCCTGTACCACTTCCTACACATTCAAAGCAAGCCCTGTATTGCTGAAAGTACAAAAAAACAACAACACACCACTGGTTTTATTTCGCTTACATGTGATGTTTCTGTGTATTTAAAATTAATCTCTTTTTTGTAAATAGGTTCCTTAGGTGCACAACTCTAGAATGTATGGCCAGTGAGTTTCAAGGGTATTTCTTACTCCCCTCACTCATACACTGCCTGAAAGTGATTTTATAGGGGTCAAAGTTCAGTGACAGAGCACATCTTTTGCATGCAGATGGTCCCAGGTTCAGGCCATGACAGCTCCAGGTGGGGCTGGGAAATATTCCTGCCTCAAAACCTAGACAGCTGCTGCCAGAGTGGTGCAGCTAAACCTCATGGACTTACCAAAGGGCAGATTCATATACATAGAAATGTTTGTGTTCTGAAGACTTTTGCCTCCCAGTCACCCACACACAGTGAAACAGGAACCATCCCTATTTGATGTATTTGTTGATACCTGGCATGTGATTGCCTGCCATTGTATCCTTATTGCATCATGTTAGGCTATGAGTTTAAAGAATGTGTAGGCAGTAAATTACAGAAAATGCAATCTCCTGATTAAAATGAGTTTTCCAAAGCACACAGTTTCATTTTTCTTGAGTGACTGACACTACACTAAAGCTTCTCAGACATTGTGCAATTAACCTTCATAAATCAATTGGACCCAACTATAAAGGTTTCACCGGGTCTCTTATCTAAGAGCTGGGCTCTGGCTAGCACGGTCTGGGGACTATTGCACCTTTAATGAGTAGCTTCACTGACTTCCTACACAATTTAAGGTGCAGGAGCCTTTCCTTCTTCCCCCCCAATCAGGCCACCCTAATCCTGGCAACCGGTTGGACCCCACTCACCTCTGCCACCAGCAATGCTGTGAATAGTGGACAGTCCATCTGCTGGGGCAATGAGACTTCAGTGCAACCAATCAAGACCCATTCAGACCCATTCAGAACTGGACAAAATGGAGGCCAGGGATGCCAACTTGAATAAAATATTGCGAGGGGGCAGATAAGCCCTGCCCCAGATCCTAGTAATGAAGGTACCAAGTGCTGGTGAAGGTTTATTCCCCCCTTGCCCCAATTTTATCCTCAACACAGATCTACAGGGTTGACTGGTCCAGGGCTACTCTGAATTCTTAAAACTAAAAAGGGGCTTGAACCCATCTCTCCCCAAGCTTAAGTTTCTAGGCACCTAGGTTTTCATCCTATCCTAGCTTCCTTGCCACCCAGGAACCCTTTTACAAGTTTGTTTACAGGGCTTGTTGAGAAATGACATCCAAACATGGAAAAGAATGAAAGGCAGCAATGCCCATCAACTTTGGGGGGTCTGGCCCCCTAAAGTATTTTATGGGGGACCCCCGAAGGGACCTGGGCCCTTAGGAGTTGGCGCCTATGACAGAGACGATGGTCCCCTCCCTTGGCAATTGCCCCATGTATTTCCCTTAGTGAGGGGCACTGAGAATCAGCACTTCACTTTGTTTAGAATCTGGCTGAACAAGTACTTAATGCCCTTTCTTTGGTGGTACATGCCATGGAATGTTGTAGACACAGTAAGCTTTTGTTAGGAGCTATTTAGTATTTACATACAGCATAGTAGTCTGCCACGCCCTTCACTTGCTCATAATCTTCTGTTTTGGCAAGCATATCTAAGCCTTCTGGATACAGTTTCCCACACGTTGGATACAGCTTCTGTCTGTCTTCTTTACTTAATTCAGTGCCAAATGAATTAATGGTGATGATGAAGGCACGCCTGTCTGCTTCAAACTGCATAAGACAACAACAAACGACAGCTTTCAGCCTTTAAAAAATATTTTGTAGACATCTACTATGGAGCGCAGGAGGGGTTTGCTGGCAATGGGAGCCTACTCTCATCTTCCTTACCCCAAATTTCTCTCCTCGTAAGTTTGTGGAAATTGTGGGACACCGTGGAATCACAAGGGGTGATTTGATGTGAAAGGGGATAAAACAAGCATGAGGTTGCAGATGTAGTGAGAACAAACTACAGTATTTTGGCCCAGAATTAATGTGCAGCAAATTAATTGAAAGGGAAGCCATTTTTTAATATGGCTGGCAGGATGTTTGAAGCAGGATCAAAAACATCAAAGCTGCAATATTACTTTCTGGTTTAATTTGTTAGATTTGCTCCCCAAATTATCATAATTGTATACAAAGGCCCCAGTCGTCAACAGATATATACAGTATACCATATATGCATGCAGGTCTGTTTGAAGTCTAAAGCACATTCAATGCACACTTAAAGCACAAGTCTCTCCTAAGGAATCCTGGGAACCATAGTTTTCCCATCACAGAAGTACAGTTTCCAACCACCTTAATAAACTACAGTTCCCATGATGCTTTGGGGAAGCTATGTGCTTTAAATGTGCGTTGAATGCACTTTAAATGTATGGTGTGGACCTGCCCACGTGAACAGTGGGATTCATACAGCCTGCTGACTGATTCTCCCATGATCTGCACTGAGTATTTCTTGAACTGCTGAAATATATGAGCTTTTCGTTTTCTGCTTTCAAGCTGTTACGAAAGGTTGTTATCAACTAGGAACAATGAAATATTGTTATGAATGGTATGAAATTGATATAATTGTTCTTATATGTGTCTTCATTGATGATGCTTTTAAATGTTTTATAGGAAGTGTTTCATAAATGGAAAAATCATGGTTATGTACGTTTTGGTGAAATGCGTAATCGATCATCTAGTATTTTGATACTTTCCTTTTGCCCTATTCATTTATTTTTAACTATCGAGATATTGTAGAGTAATAGCTTGTGATGTTTTTTTTTGATATTGTAATATCAGAAATGTGTGTATTGGTTATGGTGGCAGGCAGGCTTCGTAGTTTCTTAGAGCACCTATTCCCTGTCGGCAGGGTGTAGACTGGAAAACTTTAAAGGCAGCTCTTGAATCAACTTCTAACATGATAAGGTATAGAAGCATTCACAGGTGAATTTTGGAAAGAAAACAAATGTAGCTCAATGTGGAAACAGGACAAATTGACTAAAAAATGTATGCATGCACAAGGAGCATGGGCTAAAGAATGACCGATTCATTCCTAGCCATAATGTTTTCCTTACCTCTAAGAGTGGGCACATTATATCTGCCGTAGTGCCACCTTGGTTTTTGCAGAATGTATAGAACGCTTCGAGGTAAGACTAAAAAATGGGACAGGAAAAAAGTAACATTATATTCAAACCTTCTCTGAATTACTGACAATCATGACTGGAGCAGTCAGTCAGCCATTTCCCTTACTTATTATGTTCAACCAGCCATTATGGGAAGTACAAAACATGTAAAAACTAACAGGTGTGAGACTGGTTAGTTTTCTCCTACTGATGATGTGTTGCTGCAATAGTAATCCCATTTGGTAGGAGAGGAACCAGACTGTTGGCAATAACGTTTAGCAGAAGCGATGTTTTTATTTATTTAGAATGCACAAGTAAATATGAACATTGTCATATCTGTTCATTGCAGTAGGAAAGCCTAGAGGACCTTAGCCTTTACTAAATAAGTGCAGTTAGCTGATTTGCACGTACACTACTACAGTAGGTTGTCAGTGTTCATGTAACGGCACAAAGGCGAATTCCCATGCACATTTACTAGAAAGCAGGTTTCCTTGAACTCCATCCTGCCTAATATACACTACCTCAACGTTTACCATTCCCCTGAGGCACCCGTCTGTTTATATACACCTGTAAGTCAAGAGAACATTTTGTGCAGCTGTTGAAGTGGAAAATAGTTCATGGAAGCTTATGCCGTAATAGTGTGAAAAGTCTTTAAGGTTCCACAAGACTCTTTGTTCTTTTTTCTGCAAGAGACTAATATGGCCACCCCTCCAGAAACAGTGGCTGCTTGGAGATCTGATCACAAGGGGGGAAATGTGAAAGTTTCATTCGTGACAGAGAAACACAGATTCCAGGAAGCAGAAAACACTTGCTCTTCCTGCTCCCTCCGAATTACCCTTATTGTTGAACTTGTCCAAATTCTACACATTCTATATGTTACATCCTGCTCTCAAATTAGGGTGGCTTTGCATTTTATAGGAAGTGCCAAGAACTGGAAGTTGGCTCTCTTGTCACTTGCACATTTGCTTTTGCCGTTTCCTGCGGCATGCAAATTCATTTCAGGGAACGACAGAGGGTGCAGTGAGCATTACATCAATACCAGGGTTAATTTCCCCCATTTATTGAGAGTACACTATTTAAATCCCACCTATTCTCCAAAGTGCTCAAGACCGCTTATTTTCATGGCTGTACATTGTACCTATCCCCCCGATTTACTTTTTCACAGCTGGCGCTGAAAGCATTTACCTTATACAGTTTGTTGCGCATGATTTCAATGTTCATTTCATCCAGATCGTTTTCAGATACACAGTCTTGAAAGAAATCAGCTGAAAAGCAGATATGTTTAAATTATAAAGGCAAGCTGTAGAGAAGCATAAGAAGCCCACTTATCAGTTTTAACAATTTTTTTATGCTCAATGACTGACTTTCTACTGCGCTACAAAAAATAATATAGAAGGAAGGAGATGAAGTAAATGTTTTCAACATTCCTGATGTGGTGCATATATAATACAGCTTTGCAGCAGGATTCTGCTTTTAAGATAATGGGGTTGCTAATCCAAATCGCCACCAGGTTTCTGGTAGGAAATGCTAGCATAAATTTTGGTCTACTCTTTGACATAGCAGTCAGTGTTGCTTTGGGTTGCCTAGATAAAGCGACTAACAAATTTAATAACTAATAAAAATAAATAGATGATCTATGGGAAGGCTATTCTACTTTCTGTATATATATTGTATCACCCACTCTGATACATTTATTTGTTTGTTTTGTTATAATTTTGATTCTAAATGCTGATTTATTTCTTTTAAGAATATTGGAGCGAAAAATCACCGAGAGTGCCTGGTCCCATTCATGCAATGAATTTTTACTTATTTTGACAGCTCTCTGAAGCTTTCCTACAGGGCAGAGCCGACCCACTCAAGAGGCAAGGTGAGGTAGCTGCCTCAGGCATCACCCCCCCCGAATCATCACTCCCGTTCTGCTGCCCAGCTTTGCCACTGGTCTCCCCAGCCTCTACGGACAGAGAGGGACCAGCAGCAAAGCTTCAGCTTCTGAAGCTAAGAGGATATGGCTGTCAGTAGTGCCTAAGTGCAAAGTGGCCTGAGAACCCCTCTAAGCTCTTCAGAGGAGGGTTTCAGACTGGGGACATTTCCAGCCCTACGTAGAGATCCCAGGGATTGAATTTGGGACCTTCTTCATGCAGGGCAAAAAATTCTGTCATTTTGCCCTAAGACAACTGGCTGCCTTCATTTTAATGGGCCACAAGTACTGCAGACTAGATGCAGATGCAGACTAGATGCAGAGAGCAAGTGCTGCCATGATAGAAAACAATCTCATCTGAAGGTCCACACACACACACAAAATTGTGAACAGCCATACCTAAGGGTGTATCCACCAAAATTGCATTGAATAACTCTGCAGGGTTTGGAGCAATGCTGACAGCTTCCATTTGCTCAAAATTGCCCAACGGATGGCACTTGGGAACCAGCTCTTCCAAGGGCCGCTGACGCAGTGTGCCAGTAATGAGTAGGATCACGTTGTCAATCATATAGCTGTACCTAGTGAGAGAAAACAACATTCATCAAAATACTATGTTCTTCCTCAGGGAGAAAAGTGCTTTAAAAAAGCCAAACACCAAGCCACATTTTGCAAATATAAAGGTTAAAATAGCCAGGGCTCTGCAGAAAAGGTGTGATCACTCTTTATCAGCTGTGGCAATGTGGCAACAAGGAATTCTTGTAAACAGAACGCTACATTAGACAGTCCCTAATCTAACCAGGCTTGCACAGAATCACTGCAATCAAATGCAAAAATCAATATCTTAGAATTTAATGCCCAGAGCCACTTTTTATCAGGAAATGGGCTTATTTTCCAAATGTGTTGTGGCCAATTGCCAATTTAAGTAGAGTCCTGTTTGATAGTGTGGAAATAAACCATGCACATACATTCGTACATGTGGGGTCTCATTGAACCTTATTATGAATGAACACATGAAGATCAGTCACACCTGATCCTGCCTCCCGATGCATTCCTTTAACCCAGGCTTCCTGAACCTGGCACATTCCAGACTACAACTCCCATAAATCCCAGCCAGCGCGGACAATGGTCAGGAATGATGGGGGTTGTAGTCTGGGACATATGAAGGGTACTGGGTTATGGAAGGCTGCTATAATGTCAGACAGGAAGCCTCTGGTGAGATGGACATGTAAGAAAACATGGCACTGACTTCTATCAGAAAGTCACAACCACAGCCCAAACTTGACAGAGGAAATTTAGAGGCATTCTTGCCTTTTATTATTTGAAAATCACAGGACTGGGAGGGTGGTCCACTGGCAGCATCACAGCTCACGCACCATGGCCGCAGGCTACCATTCCTTGCATAGACTTTTAAACAACTAGGAAGACTTAATGAATTCAATCACAAAATCCACCCAAACAGCCTGATGTTAAGAAATCAATGTTAATTAGGTTGCCAAGTAAAAAAATAAACCTTGCTTCAAAGGGAGTTGGGAAATTTAATATTACAATGCTGCCAAAATGAATTAAAAGATAAACGTCTGGGCATCTGCCATAAGAATTTACTGCAGGCCAGAAGAAGCATTGCTAATGAATACAATGACTACATAAGTAGGCCTTGGATCTACTTATTGAAGTCCATCCTAAATGCATTACAGGGGATGCACGGAGCTTACTCTTGAGTAATCAGATTGTACTGTAAGTTTTCTGATTAAGCTGCCGTTACTCAACAGAGACTAGGCCATTCTGCTTAGCATAAGATGCACACTTCAGAAAACAATCCACCAAACATTGCTTCTGTGTAACACTCATTTATTTCAATGGGCCTTGAACAAAGTGACCTTGCAAAGTTTTTTCCCAATGGAAACTAATTCAGGTTGCAATACGTCATGGTACCCATAAAATCCAGAAAATATGGCACTAAGTTTGTACGTAACTTAGGGACCCCTGACCATTAGGTCCAGTCGTGGCCGACTCTGGGGTTGCGGCACTCATCTAGCTTTATTGGCCGAGGGAGCTGGTGTTCAGCTTCCGGGTCATGTGGCCAGCATGACTAAGCCGCTTCTGGCAAACCAGAGCAGTGCACAGAAACGCCATTTACCTTCCCGCTGGAGCAGTACCTATTTATCTACTTGCACTTTGACGTGCTTTTGAACTGCTAGGTTGGCAGGAGCAGGGACCAAGCAATGGGAGCTCACCCTGTCGCGGGGATTTGAACCGCCGACCTTCTGATCGGCAAGTCCTAGGCTCTGTGGTTTAACCCACAGTGCCACCCGCGTCCCCTAACTATTTCATTAAAATGGGCTAAAAAACATATGCATGAGACTAGAATTGATTTATTACCACATTTATATCCCACCTATTTCTCCAAGAAGTTCAAGGTGGTGTACATGGTTCTAACTCTCCTCATTTAATTCCCTTAACAACCCTGTGAGGTAGGGCAGGCTGAGAGGCAGTGACTGGCCCAAAGTCATCCAGTGAGCTTCCTGGCTGAGTGCGGATTCAAATCCTGGTCTCCCAGATCCTAGTTTGACACTCTAACGACTAGACCACACTGGCTTTCAATACTCTGACTTTATGGGCCTTTAGTCATTGTTTATTAGTTGCTCACATCATGAAATTACTAATTTTACTTACGTAATATAGTTTAGGAATGTGGAAAGTGGCTCGAAGGCATGATTTCTGAAATAGTGAAATTCTGCCAATAGTTTGGCCTTTAGTTTGTCGTCGATGATAGAAACCGTGAGAGAGCCTGTTTCGTTGGCTAAGAAGTTTCCGTAGTCTGTGGTTTGCAATTGTAACTTCAGGTCTGGAATAGAATTGGAAAAGATTTGTTTTCTACAAAGAAACCAAGGAGGTTAAAGAGACAGTATTGCTTTTAATTTTTAATTCATACTTCTCTTTCGTTTCCTTTTTTACACCCGGTGGCTGGGTTCAGATGTAGCACAATCCCATGGTTTGCTTTAAGGTCTGAACCCACCCCAAACCACACTCACTGTGGAGCTGACAAGCCAGGATCTGAAATCAGGGTTGGAAGCTGACTTGTAAACTGCAGTTTGCACTGAGTGTGACTTCCTATTATGTACAGATTCAGACATTGCACATAGATGTCCAAGATTGCTGTGTGATGGGAATCTCTTCCTTTTCTCTTTTTTTGGGCTACTCTTTCACTCTCCATTCTCTGAGCGGTAGGAATCTCATCACAACTTTTACAGGGTTGTTTCAAGGTGAAAGCATTAGAGGCCAAGTGCATCTGGGTCCTTGTTTTGTTTGCAATTGTACAAGTCAAGCAGCTATTACAGTCACATATGAAGACCTACTTCTGATGCAGCACATTAGTCCAGCTCCCAGACACAAAAACCAGAGAGCAAACTGCCCTAAAGCCTCTATAATAATGATAAAACTTGATCATGTCTTTATTTAAAATGTACTACATAGAATCATAGAGCTGGAAGGGACCACAAGGGTCACCTAGTCCAGCTGCTTGCAATGCAGGAATCTCAACACACAGTCCCTCATCCAGTTTGAAGCCATACCAGACCCTGCTTAGCTTTGCAAATGTGCTAGCAGTTTTATTGCTGCACCACTATCACCTTTCATCAAAATGTTCCCAGTTTGGGTACATAAATGTGAACAAAATTAACTCACACAACATAGAAATACAGTTTAAAAACAAAGAAGCATAATGAAGCATAGCATATATCATAAAGACACTACAGTCTCCACTGTGCTTCATTTCCAAAAGGAAACAGGAATCCTAGGTAAACACCTGGAACCCTTGGAATTTCACACTGCTTTGAGATTAGGGTGACATGCAACAGTATATATGTAATAAGTATATTATATGTCTTAAGTATATTATTTTGGCTTTTATTGGCACTCACCAGAAAAAGTGAATACCCATAAAGGTCTCTCATGACATAAATGCAATGCACATCAATGGAAGCAACTATTATAATCTCATGCAAGCTTTATATTTTACCTGTTTCAGCAAGGAAAAAATTTAGCCCCAGCCCCAGTTGTGTCCCTATCCAGATCCATTTACATTCTCCCCTCTATGGGAGGAAGCAAAGCAAAGAGCTTCACTGTTGCAGAATGTCAATAGTCACCACCCACCGATGAAACTGAGTCCCCTTCTCCACCAGGAATTCTGAAGGATGATGCAATGTGACTCATTGTGTGTGATTTTACTAGTCACTTGATCATTTTTTTTAAAAAAAGAAAAAAACCACTTCAACTGACTGTGTGAACTGGGTCATCGTCTGCTAGTTCCTACTGCAGAATGTACAATGTTTTCCCTGTACAAAATCTGGGAATGGAAATTTGGCAAAGAGGAAAAGATAGATCAGAGTATCTGATACCAAAGCATCTCTCCATAACAAACTCCCTTTAGAAGTTGCACACAAGGACAGACTCTGAGTTTTGGATCATTTAAATGCTTTTGAAGCTTCTGTGCACTCGGTTTAACTAATTATACAAGTTCACATCAGCATGTACCTGTGCGACTTCTGTTTTTTCTGCCTTAGACTGAAGCCTGCCAGTAAAAGCTAATGAAGGGTTGCATGTTAAACAAAGTGCTGCAGAATTCAAAAACAAGGCTCTGTTGGTAAAACATTGTGCGGATGAAACCCTTACAAGCAACAAAGGGATGGAGTCAAATAACCCAAGCCACCCAGCATTCTGCTGTCTCATTACTCTTTTCCATGCAGAAAAAGGGCATGTATGAAACTATAGCTACAGAGGACAGATGACTCGGAGGTGATTCACGCACCATAACTTGTCCTCACAAATGCAGAGAAATCAATGCACACCGAATATCTGTAATGACCTCCACACATGTTCATTTTACTTCAGTATGTGTGAGCTTGTTTGCACCAGAAACGGAATGTAATTTGTAGTTTGCAAAGAAACTTGGACTGCTGAGAGATTCAGGTTAAAATGCCTGCTTGGCCCTAAAGGTCAGTGACTTTGTGTCAAGATAGCCAAATATGTTGTTTTTCGTTTTTCATTGTTCCACTCTTAAGTTTAGTTCTCTATATTTCAACATTCATTTGCAAAAACTTTTGCAAGTCCTCATGAAAATTCACAGTGTATTTGTGTGAAATATTGCCTAATATATGCATTTTACAGAGCAATTTCCCCTAATACAGGGTTTCCCAAACTAAGGTCCGCAGACCAACAGTGGTCCATGCGCTTCATTCAGGTGGTCCGTGAATAACACTTACAATTTGAATTCTATGGAATTCAAACAGTAATAGAATAAATCACAATATAAGAAATAAAAGAACCAATAAAAGTTCAATTAAAATTCATACAGCGTCTAGCAGAGCGCATCACAATTGCTACAACAGGCAACAGGAAAATTGTTAAGTGGTCCGCCAAGACCCTCAGAAATTTTCATGGCGAATAGTGGGTGAAAAGAAGTTGGGGAACTGTTACCTTATATCATGCATTTCTGTATGTTATTTTCACTAATCTATGCATACTTTACCACAGACCTTTCCCAATGTTCATGTTGGTGACACACTTTTTAGACAAGCAACATTTCATGACACAGTAATTCAGGTTTACTAGCAAACCAGAGGTTAAACTTACCCTTTTCCAGCCCTGGGAGGAGCGTGGGGAGCAGTCACATGACACACCTACACACTGCAGCCGACACACTAAGGTTTCATGACACTCAGTTTGGAAAGCAATGCTTTACAGTAATGTATGCAAAAGATATTGCAAAATTCAGAGAAGTGCAATTTTCAAAGGTTGACTGTGTTTTAGTTGGCATATTGCAGGCATGTCCAAAGTCCGTTTCGGGAGCCTATTTCGGCCCGCTGGTCAGTTTTATCTGGCCCCTGTGGCAGTTTATTTCCTGGGGTAAAATCCAGTTGACAACTGTGGTTGGCCCTTTAGTCAGCCCTCGTGGCCCTTCACTTCATCAAGTCTGGCTCTCTTTGAAAAAAGTTTGGACACCACTGACATATTGTTCCAGAAAGTGCAAATTAGGTAGGTTTAAATGCAAACTGAATTGATGTTCCCCTCCATCCCTAGTTGCTGGTATCTTCCATCCTAATTTACCTCTTAGCCTTCATGAGCTTCTTGTCGGAGCTTATCCCCCTCTTCCCATCACTGCTGGATGTGCAGCAGAGAAAGGTTGTTTTGCCCCACACCTGCGTCATCATCAGAGGCTGGTACTGGTAACAAGAAGGAATGGCCCTCCACAGATTGCATTGGCTCACTAGCAATTCCTGCAATGGTGGCCACATTTGTAAAGCTGGTTTCCTCGTCTGAATCACCACTGGATTGCTCTGCCATTACCAGGACCAGGTCACATATTAAACTGCATCGTAATATAGCTTTGGGAAGTGTTAGGTGTAACACTCATGATCATGTTACAATGTGATGAGAGACCAAATGATACCAACCCAGCATGTAACAGCCTCCCCCAACCCAGTGAGCTCCAGTTAGACACCAGTTCCCACCATTCCCAGCCACTTGCTAAACTGGTTGGGACTGACAGGAGAACATCAGCAGGCACCAGGCTGGGGAAAGCGATCATAGAGCCACAAGAACCAACGAGCGTCAACAACACCCACCCCATGTTTCAAACATTTCTCAATGAGAAGCTGTTGCATAGCAAGAGGCTGGGAGCAAGTAGTCCTGCCACCCAGGAAGCTAAGGGGAAACAAAGTGAGGAGCAGGCAAACAGATCAGGAAGAATTTAGGGAGAGTCTCAGAAAAGCAAGGCAGAAGAAACTTTATATAAAAAAGAGCCCAGAAGAAATAAAGTAAAAGGCAGAACTGTGCAGCCTGCCAGCAGCCTTTTCCCCATTCCTTGTATATGGGCTGCTTTGAGGTCTGAGCCAAAGGAAACTCAAGTGGCCTCAGGTGGGCTTATCCTCCAAATCTGGGCAGGGCTGAGGAGCGATTTCTGACAAAGATCAGCCCAAGGGAGGAGAGCATTTTATGGAATTGATGCATTAGAGTCCCCTTTTTAATATGGGTGGTACTCCTCACTACATGCATTTCTCCCTGTTCCTGAAGGCAAAATACTGAAAAGTAGCAATGTTAAGACACGATGGAACGTAATGCCCAATTATGGAAGCATGCAAAACACGTGTTTACCAGACAGGGATGTCCATGATACACAGTGGGATTTACTTCTCAGCAGATATGTTTAGTGTGGGACTTCAGTGTTTTCTAGGATGGCACTGAACGATTCCAGCACAAAATCGTCTACCTATCCATCAAAAATGCCATTAAGACAAATTATTAGTAGTCTTGTTTATTTCAGTTCTGACTTAATGTGGCTATGAATTAGGCTACAAGTATAAATTAATATTGGTTTATTTGCATAGTCCAATTGGTAACAGCAGCTGTATTTTAATACTTTATTGATATGCTAGCGTTACACATTCCCAACAAACTCAATGTCATTTCAGTTGACCTAAGGTACAGTATATATAAGATTTCTGCCTTCATCCCAATATGAATTCCAGTTGACCTTTGGAAGGACAATCCCATTTTTTGTTTTGTTTCAGTAACATTTAAAAAGAAAAACACTTTTCAACAAATGTTAGTTGATCAAATACCATTCCCCTCCCAGCAGAGCTACAGAGGCCGCTGTGATACTTTCAAATGTCACGAGACTGAGATTTCGTTTGACTCCTACTCACCTTCCAGCGTTTCGCACTGTGCTAAGTTGACATAGTCAGAAGCCGTCAAGATGCCACATTTGAAGCCTCGGACCAGGCCCTCGAGATACCCATGATCCACATTGAAGAAAAACTCTGAATAGCCCGGCATAGTGGAAAAGAGGTTCTGATGCCTCTCTATGCTTAAAAAAGTACTGAGTCTTGTGTCTGCCTCCAGAAGAAGATAGCAAGTGGTCACTAGCCTTGGCTGGACTTTAATTCGCTTCTCCTTCCTGTTTCATTGTTTCCAGTACAACATCATTGCGCTCTGCATAGTGCTTACACAACATAAGCTCAGCAGGCAGACACAAACTAACTCTTTCCTATTAGTAACGAAGCTACTCTGGGTGTAAAGGACAACATAAGAGCAAGGGCAGGAGGAGAACAGAATGTGAGTTGGATCGGACTGGACAACATATCCTTAAAATATTGAGGAATGCATCTTTTAAACCGCTTTCAAAGAGATGTATGCTCTGAAAGTGCAACAGCCAGTTTCAGAGCAACTGTGCTTGAATTTGAAATTAAAGGTATTATTTTGGTTTGATGGAGAGTAATTGGATCTCCAGTTTATATAAACTATAAAGCAGTTTTGGGAGGGCCACAATTTGGGGGTGGGGGAGAAAAGGAGGTGATTAACCCTTTCCTCCCTGCTCTGTTTTCCTGATGAATCCCCACCCCGACATGCCTATTCCCCTTCTGGTGGGCAAATATTTTTCAAAGATTGCAGCTTTGGAATGCATCATTTTAAAAACTGCACAAGTGAAACAGTTAACCACATTCCCTCTGCCCCATAAGCACCACTTCTCCCACTAACTGACTTTTGCAGAAAAGATCCAATCATGTCTGACATCTAATTTTCGTTTGCCATATCCTGACCCCGCTGTACCATTAACCAACCTGGCAAGTGGGGCATTTTATTTTCTGCATGGCTGAAAATGGTTACATTTAGCCACTAGGAGTCTCCCTAACCCTGTGACTAAATATGTTCCTCCCTCTGCGCTTCACCAGTTACAAGTATATTATACCAACAGGAAACAAAAATCTAATTTTTAAAGCTGCGTTGTTCCTAGCCGGTAAGCGACATTTATTTCATTATAGCGATTTTTGCCTGGGGAAGCTGGGATTGCTACAGAGCGGCTGACAAAAGAATCAGCAACCAGGAGTTTCTGAGTCTCTAGTACTTCCCCCCTCTCAATATACATGTGAATTTGAATCATAAGAGGAAAGTGGAAAAAAATATTTTGTCACTTAACACCAAAACCATACATCTTATGGATATTTATTTAGAAATGTATATTTTGCTGAATAATAGTAATTCCATTTTGTGGCGCTAATCCATACCTTCCAACATCTCTCCGATGAAAACATGGACATCATTTTATGGTTTTACATAAAATAGCTTTAAAGTTCTTACTGCATTTAAGCTTCCAGTAGCACCTGGTTCACATGCCATGCTAAGCCAAACCAAACCATGGCTTAGCACAACTGTGCCTGCAGCCCCAGAAGTAGCCAGTTTGCTCAGCCCTAGTCATTTTGCTGCTCCAACATGCTGAGCTAAGCAATAGCTTCGCATGTCGACTGAACCAGGGCTCGTGGTTTAGCTCTCCCAGACAAACCATAAACTGTAAATCATAGCCCAGATCCTGGTTAGAGCTCCTGGTTAGTCTGGAGAGAAACAAAACCATGACATTAATAATAATAATAATAATAATAATAATAATAATAAATTTTGTTTATATCCCGCCCTCCCCAGCCAAAGCCAGGCTCAGGGCGGCTAACAACAATCAAATAATCAAACAACCAAATAATCCAACATTCTAAAACATTTCATTATAAAAATTAATTAAAATCAAATTAATGGCAACCGTTAAGCAAAGTTCTGTGCAGGTTGCCAGAGGAGGGAGTCAGGCTGGGCCCTGACCAAAGGCCTGGTGGAACAACTCTGTCTTGCAGGCCTTGCGGAAAGATGTCAGGTCCCGCAGGGCCCTAGTCTCTTGTGACAGAGCGTTCCACCAGATTGGAGCCGCAGCCGAGAAAGCCCTGGCTCTAGTTGAGGCCAGCCTAACCTCTCTGAGGCCTGGGACCTTCAGGATGTTTTTATTTGCAGACCGTAGGTTCCTCTGTGGGGCATACCAGGAGAGGCGGTCCCGTAGGTACGAGGGTCCTAGGTCGTATAGGGCTTTAAAGGTTAAAACCAGCACCTTAAACCTGATCCTGTACTCCACCGGGAGCCAGTGCAGCTGGTATAGTACCGGATGAATGTGATCTCGCAGCGAAGACCCCATAAGGAGTCTCGCCGCGGCATTCTGCACCCGCTGGAGTTTCTGGGTCAGTCTCAAGGGCAGCCCCACGTAGAGCGAGTTACAATAATCCAGTCTGGAGGTGACCGTCGCGTGGATCACAGTGGCTAGGTCAGGGCGAGAGAGATAAGGGGCCAACTGCTTAGCTTGGCGGAGATGAAAAAATGCCGCCTTTGTTATAGCTGTAATCTGCGCCTCCATAGAGAGGGAGGTATCGAAGATTACACCCAAACTCTTAACGGACGGTGCTGGCACTAATTGCACCCCGCAAGAGATGGGAGTTGCCCCCCCAATCCCATATCGTCCCGTCCCAGCCAGAGGACCTCTGTCTTTGAAGGATTTAACTTCAACCGGCTTCCACGTAACCATCCAGCCACAGCTTCCAAACATCTGGTCAGTGTGTCTGGGGCCGAGTCAGGATGGCCATCCATCAACAGATAGAGTTGGGTGTCATCGGCATACTGATGGCAACCCAGCCCAAAACTCCGGACAAGCTGGGCGCATAAAGATGTTAAAAAGCATCGGGGAGAGTATCGCACCCTGAGGCACTCCACACACCAAGGAGTGGCGCGATGACAATTCCCCCCCCAAGCGCCACCCTCTGTCCCCGACCAGAGAGAAACGAGCGCAGCCATTGAAGGACTGTGCCCTGGATCCCCACGTCGGCAAGGCGGTGGTCCAGGAGTTCGTGATCGACCATGTCGAAGGCTGCTGACAGGTCTAGAAGAATCAGCAGCCCCGACCCGCCTCGATCCAGCTGCCTGCGGAGATCATCTGTTAGGGCGACCAGAGCCGTCTCGGTCCCATGACCAGCGCGGAAGCCGGACTGGAATGGATCCAGAGCCGATGTTTCATCCAGAAACCTACCAAGCTGTTCAGCAACCGCTCTCTCAATCACCTTACCCAGGAATGGAAGATTCGAAACCGGGCGGTAATTGGATAGATCTAAGGGATCTAATGATGTTTTCTTTAAGAGCAGGCGCACCACTGCCTCCTTCAATTCCCCTGGAAATATCCTGGTGCCAAGGGACAAATTGATGATATCCCCCGGGGGGCCCGCACCTCGTCTGGACATGCTCTAATCAGCCAAGACGGGCACGGGTCAAGAGGACAGGTGGTGGGCTTTCCAGCTCGGAGGAAAACAGGTGGTGGGCTTTCCAGCTCGGAGGAAAACATTAAGCCAAACCATGGCTTGGCTAACCATGACACAACAGCAAAACGACTACGTTGGAGTGAAGCAGCTGCAATCTCCTCTCTGTGAACCCACACATTTGCTCTGTGCCATAGTTATGGCTTATTGTGATGTGCAAACCAGGTCCGCCAAAATACAGTGGGTTCTTTCTGTCGTATTGTTTTGAAAGTATATTTTTCTACGTATAATGACTGAAACCGCATCCGTTCCCTAAGCAGTGGTGCAAAGAGTTAATACGCAGGGGTGACTTATTTTTATGGATGACAGACATGTCCCACCTCTCCTACAAGGAGCTCACCCCATCGCACGGATTTGATCCGCCGACCTTCTGATCGGCAAGCCCAAGCTACACAACACTGGTTCTGGACTGGTCCTGCCATGCAAAGGGTGCAGCGACTTATTTATAAAAATATTTATATACCACCTATTCACATAACATATCAAGACACTGCACAACATAAAATTACAAAATAATCACAAAAATGACTGGCTTATCCAAAAAGAAAAGGAAAGGAAATTCGACAACTGAGTAGGCCTGTCAGTATATAAAAAAAGTCTTCAAGAGACACCTCAAGGTCACTCAGATGGATGAGCATTCCACAGCTTGGGACAGGAGACACTAAATGTCTGACTTCTTGCTGAAGCCAGATGGGCTTTTGAAACATGGGGGACATTGCTCCTTTGGATTATCTCTGTCATTGAGCTGGGCTGCAAGGGCTGAGGAGGTCCTGAAAGAACATTTCCCCCCTCAAAGAATTCTGAGTAGTGTAGTTTACCTTTCACAGAGTCACAATTCCCAGCAACCCCTTAACAAATGATAGTCAATATTATTTCTATCTTGTATTGCTGAGAAAAGTATTGAGGAAAGTATTGGGGAAAGTACCTCTGAAAGAAGTGGGGCAATTCTAAAATAAAATGTTTTGAAGATGAGAGACACAAAAGGCATTGCAGTAGCTCAAGCAAATAATTTGCTTATATCCCACGAGGAAGGTCATTTTAACAAACACTTCCAGAAGAAGATAATTGAGTGTATTTTTAGAGACTTTAAAATAGGTTAGTTAAGCTGTACCTGAGGATTGCCAGTGAAGCAGTTCTAATCATATATTTTGTCAGCTGTGAAATCCGGAGCTCTAGCAATTATGCTATTTTATGCAAGAAAATATTCTTGATTAATACTACTGCGATTTAATCGTACATCCATAGCATTGTGGAGGTATCTAACAAGGGACTTTGTATCCATAGGCAAAGCTTATCTTCTGAGAAAATATTAAATTACTTGACAGGAAATGGAAGGAAGCAATGTCCTTAAAGAAATAATGTGCTTTCTTCTTTGATTTTTAAAAAATCCAATCAGTATTGCAATGATACCATCTTGATTCATGTTATCAGGATCTAAAATCCAATTGTAAAAATGGAAAGAAGAATTTATCTTAAACTCTAAGAAGGACTGCTAATGCACACTGACAGTGTAATGCTATATATGCTTAGTCAGAAGCAAGCCCACCTGACTTAATGAGACTAACTCCCAGGTAAGTAGGATTGCATTCACCGAAATCTCTTATTTGTTGTATTGAGAAGTTTAGGGCTGAATTTTTTCACCCATCTAGTAGCTTTATATCGCAGGAGGAAATTGTGCACATATAGAAGTTTGCAAGCCATTAAGGAGACTCTACTTAGGGCTAAATTAGATATATCATGTAGTCTGGCACTGCACAGCTTGTTTACCAATAACCAGCACAGGGAAACCTAAACCGGATCCATATCATGATGGACAGGAAATTTTAACCCTTTGCCCCCTGCTGTAGTTCCAGTCTGGATCAGAGCTCACACTGGCCATTTTCACTGGGGTGGAAAAGTTTGAATGGGTGTCACCTCAAGTTTGGCTCTCAGGCATCCCGGATGGGACTCTTTCCAAAAGGGCCTTGAAGCACAAGTCTGCTAGGAGGCCATGACACAGAGCCTAGATGCTGTAGCATATGACAAAATCTCATCCTCTTCAGCGGTAAAACCCAATAACCCCCAATACATTTTGTTTTATTCAAATTCAGTTTACTGTGTAGGAATCCTGATGCTGCTTCTGCGCAGAGCAGAGCTAAAGAAAAGTCATACCACATAAAAACAGCTGGTTTTCCAACTAGGGAAGGACATACCTTTGTATGCAGTTTTGCCCAACGTACACACTTTTCTGCAAAAACAACTTCCC